CTGGAATAGTGTCTGTCTCCTGACTTCAGCGGGGATTCGTTGGATGCACCAAGCAATTTCCCTGCTCCTGACATTCACAGAAAGTGGCATACGATGCCCTAGCTCAGACCAGATATACAGTAGATGGAGGGCGGCTAAACCATCACCAGCATTTGCTTTTGCTCGGAGTTCAGTTGTAATCACCCACGATTCTCCCGGACTCTCAGCAAGCCGGTATGCCTTAAAACGTTTATCGTTGGCCTCTAGCTCCAGAAACTCTGATTCGGGAGGAGCTCTGCTAACCGCAGACCTTATTTTAGTGCTTTCGGAGCACTGGTTCCCGCGGACCTTATTTCCTTGAAGGTATATTTAAAAAAAAAACAAATTTCCCAATCGACCAGCAAACCGGTATGCCTTAAAACGTTTATTGTAGGCCTCTAGCTCCAGAACCTCTGATTCGTGAGGACCACTGGTTCCCGCAGACCTTACTTAAGTGCTTTCCATGGGCGTCGACATTTTTTTGGGGCATTCCGGAAGATCTCGAGGTCTCAAGAATTGTTGCAAACTTTCCGGAACATCTTGAAGTCTTGCACAGCCATCAAGGCTCAGCAGTTTCAGTTCTTTCAGGTCTGAGATGCCACTTGGCAACTCCGTAAGACTGGTGCACTTTGACAGGTTGAGCTCCATCAAGCGACCCAAGTTGCTCACTGAATCAGGAAGCCATTCCAATGACTGGGCATACTGCAAATTCAACACCCTCAGCTGTGACAACCACCCCATTTCGTCAGGTAAAGAAGCCAGCTTCCAACAGCCACTAAGGTTGAGGCGAGTCAGATTTCCAAGTTTGCAGATGCCGTCTGACAGGAATGTCAGGGACATGCAACTTTCAAGGCTCAAGCACCTCAAACTGCTCAGACCTGAAATCCACATGCTCAAGCCGCAGAGAAAAATTGACGACGAGAGGTTGAGGCGAGTCAGCATGCATAGATTGCCGATTGATGAAGGCAGGGATTGAAAACGAGAAGAGTTCAGATCCAATTCCCTAAGCTCTGTTAAATTCCCTATCTTCTCCGACAGGTATTCAAGTCCACAACCGTCCAAGCTTAGCTGTCGAAGCTGAGTCAGAACCCAGAAAGCTTCGGGAATGGAGTCGACATTTAGCAACGAGTATGAGAGGTCCAGAGAAGTCAGACGTGAAAGACGTCCAAGAGTTGGTGGCACTGTCCGTAGTCTGGCCGATGTGATGGAAAGGTGAATGAGACTTTGGAGGTCACCAATCTCCTCAGGGATGGACTCAAGTGAGGATAATAGAATCTCCAAACGTGTGAGGGATGATAGCAATCCAATCGTGACAGGCAAACTTCTGAGACGGGATGAATAGATGATACTTAGCTTCACCAGCTTCGTCAGGCACCCTATTGCCGGGGAAACCTCCGTGACCCCGAGCCAGCTCTCCAATTTGATGGAACGGAGACGTGTCAAACTCCCAATGGTGGAGGGGATCTCTTCATCACCGTGGCGTTTATTGGATAAACTTATGGAAAAGTCCTGCAGACATGGTGAGCTTAGCAGAAACGGCAACACCCCATCACCAGGCCCTCTCCTCTTGGGAAATGCAACTTCACACATTCTCAGCACTCTCAACTGGCCGAGTTCGCCAATGGCTTCTGGGCTAATGGAAAGCTCCACAGCATTGCAACTGAAGTCAATTACAAGTACCTCCAATTTTCGCAGGTGTCTGATCGAGCTAGGGAATTCTTCATTGGAGTAATACGTGGCAATGAACTTCACGCACAGCACCCTGAGGTTCGTAAAGGATGAGAAGTAGTCACGTGGCAGCACACTTGGCTTTGGAAAGTTCTGTAATGTCATGATCTGCAGCAGGCTGCTAGAAGTTACTTGCTGCAGAAATTCTCGCCCACGCTCCAATAACGTTTCCTCATGTGATAGATGTGCATCCAGCTCATTTTGATCAACAAAGAATAACATTCCATGGCGCCAAGACCAGTAGAAACTCACCAAGTGTGGCATTTTCAACGACAGATCTGGAATGTTTGTTTCAGGGGAGCCACTTAACATAAATTTCCTTGTGGATTCGTGAATTTCTGCTTCTTCTTCGGTAGAAGGGCAATGATCCTGCAAAAATAGTTGCTGTCTGAATCCATTCGCGCACTCTACTGATCCTCCTCCTCCACCGCTCCTCCTTCCCAATGTAACAGTTGGTGCTGAGTCTGCGTTGATCATATCAAGTGCCGCTTTGCGAATCATATCATGTAAGCTCACGTATGAGTCACCGCGAGCTTCCACCAAGGACAAGTTGACCATTGTGTTCAACCTCTCCCTAGCTGTTTCCAATCCGGACTCTCCGCCGGAAGGATAGATGGACCACTGCGCTTCCATCAGATCACGGGGCACTCGTTCTTCCTCTGGAAAGCCAGCAAGATCCAGAAACATATCCATGACGCAGCCTGAGGGGTCTATCTCGGCAAGAGCTTCAATGGATCTCTGGAGTGTCTTTATAACTTTTCTGTGAAAGTCAGGGGCTGCACCAGGCTGACATTGGGCAGGGTGAGCTCCTTTCAAAAACTCGAGCCACTGATCCCAAAGTCCTCTGTCTTGGTTTCTTGGACAAATGCTTGATGCTACAACCTTGAGAGCCAATGGTAGTCCATCACATTGTTTGCATACTTTTCTCGCCACATCTTCAAGTTCAGGGGGAGGGACCTGCCTCCCAAAGGCAAAATGACAGAACAATCTGAACGATTCGCCCTCCCCCAACGTTTCGACAGGGAAGTATTCTGTCTCAGGGATTCGCACAACTTCTCTGTTCCTTGTTGTGACGATGACACTACAATTCTCAGGGAAAACCCCGCGAATCCAATCAATTTGGTCACTTTGCCAGACATCATCAAAAACCATGAGAAATCTCTCATCCTTCATTTCCCTTGCTAAAAGTGCACACTTCCTTTCTTCTGCTTCAGCCACCTGCGCTTGACCTAGAGCAGATTCAGAACGTGTCTTCCTCATCCATTCCCGGTACACCATGTCAATCATCATGGGACCAGTTTGTGCGTCACCACAAACTACGTACATTATCTTATCACAAAACTTAGACCTCATATCATCCGCATCATGAATTTGCATTGCAAGTGTTGTTTTGCCCACACCTCCCATCCCATGGAGGCATACGACTTCGGGAAAGCCCAGAGGAGCTCCTGACAGACTGGGTCGCATTAAGCTTTGCTGAAGCGCTTCCAAAGTAGCCTCGGCTCCCACCAGTACGTCATGGGATGTGACTGGCTCAAATGTCCATTTTGTAGGCAAGTTGGCTGAGCTCTGGGTATTTTGCAGAATGTTGACGGTTTCCTTCACCCTTAAGACAGTTTCGGCCTGCATTAATAGGGAAAGTCGTCTCTCCATTCTCTCAATCTCAGACTGCAGATTTGTTAATGCCTTTTGACAGCGGCCACGCCTAATATAGTTGCGACTGATCGCCACCTCCCACGCCATCGACATTTGCTCTTGATGGTCTCGAGGTTCTGGTGCAGATTCCTCAGTTTGCCACTTAACATCTGAATGTCGTCCTTTGTGTATTGCATTCCTTGAAGTCTATCACTGATTGTTATTATGTCCTGAACACATGCTTCCAGTTCCTGGCAAGCCTCCTTGTGGTGACCAACTGCTTTTGCAAATTTGAAGGCAGTATTTCCGATTTTCTGAATCGCAGTAGATAGCAGGTTCGTACCCACGGCACCTGCAAGTTCTGCCGCCATTTGACCTCCTGAGAAAAGACAAAATCAGAGAAATGCGTGAAACACAGAGAAAAAGTACAGCACATGTTGATGTGTGAGGTACTTGCGAAATACTGTAATGGCTATGTCACGTTTGCTTGAGGCCTGCCATGATGTTTTCTAAGATGCTTCATGATTCACATGGCATCAGATGATTGGACTTCCAAAACAAAGCGTTCAATCACACTGTCCATAGTGCCCCAAAATTTGTGCTGTGTTGAGGCGAAGTTAGACCAACATATTTCAACGGCCTAAGAATTTAATGACAACAGCCACCGGACAAGTTTCCATGACCTCCATGGGATAGTATGCAGCAAAGGAAATTCAATGCAACTTGCATAACTTGAACACATTGAACTCATGGCCTGCTTCAACCACTTGTATGCCAAACTGGACGCTTATTCTGACATATGCTGAAGGCCTGCAAAGCAGATGTGCAAATCTGTGTGGCCTTGGGCAGGCGTGGGTAGCACACACAGCGTCACACACCAACAACACATACAACACATACACGTACAGGTATTGGACCCTGACCTAGCCAACATGTGCACTTTCCCTTTTTTTTTTGAATTTCTATTCTTGAGCACCTGAGCGGGTTGGTGATGCACTGCAGGGTATTTTTTAACTTGAGAGCTGCCAGGAACTGCACTGGCAGGTTATCGACGTGGAAATGACACGCAATTCTTTTTGTTCACGCGTCAGCAAAGGTGGGACCCTGGGCTTTGGTCAAGTGAAAATGTGGGACCAGTGGAACGTGTGGGTGAGACAGGCTGTATCGACAAAGTAACCTATGTGTTCTTTTTATGTTTTTGAGGACTCGTGGAAGTTATTTTGGTGGGCAACCTCATCAGGTGATGGAAGGAATAGTGCAGGACCACCTGGGACCACTCGGGACGAGTTGGGACTTGTTTTGGGACCGACATTTTTTTAGGACATGTTCGACACGCCATTTTTGTACTCAGGACTGTCGCGTGCGGGACGTGTGATTCAGAATCGGATTGGGACTGGTGGCTGGCCCGAGACTTACCTTGAGGTTGTGGGTTCTCCTTCGGCAACGTGTATATTTTTCTTGGTTTCCTTGAGTGAGCCAGTCCGCGTTCGAAACCATTTCACTCAAGGTCAGTTGATTGGCTTCTTTCACAACTGTGTGAACCCACACTTTCCTTAACCGTGTTTATTTGTTCTCAAGAAAAGGTTGAGTAAAGCGTGTGTGGTCATGCATGTGAAAAGTGCGATCTGACAGGAGTATGGGTTGTTGGATTTTCTGGACATGTGGTTGTTCTTTTTAGTGTGCAGGTAGGTAGAAGATTGTTTGTAGAGAGATTTGGTTGTGCCTATTTAGGTCTGGTGAAAAGGATTATCTTGAGGGCTGACCAATCTTTCGACGATTTCAATTTCGATTTCGAAAGAGGAGGCGTCGGACCTCCCAGGGGATTCCAAAATTTATGTTTCGGCGCCTCGCAGCAACATACCTACTTCCTTTCCTGTCGTGAGTAGTGATCGAGAGGGTGATTCTATGACATCACAAAAATATATTTTGTTCAGATAGCGAAGTAAGAGTGGGCTGGACGCCTCATATAAGGTTCGAGGGGGTTCCAAAGAATTAGGCAATCTGGAAAGTTGTACGAGCGGTTCCCCTACAGTTAATGTGCGTGCACAATGGACCCCTTTTGGATTGGTACTAGTTTCCGATATCATGAACGTTTTAACTTTTTTGAAGTTTTTCTGACAAATTCGGTATCACCGGGTTCTGTTCATTAGTTCACACACGGTTTTGGCCTCATTGGAGTCTTCCCCGCTTTCAAAATCAGTACAGGGCGAGGCACGGAACTCACCTTCTTTCTCGCCGGTCTGGTCAGACTCGTTTGTCTCTACATCCGGCATAATCATTTGGACTTCTTCTGCCGACCCCGTGGGAGTATTGCGGGGTTTGTTGGAAATCATTTGCAGGGTGAGGCTCATAGGGACGATGTACGACTTTTGTCCTGCATTTTTAAGAACTACCATTCGTCGTTCGAAGTTTAGACTAACTTGTAGCGCGTTGAGGGCGGGTAAACCAATGAGCACATCATATGAGGTCACATCCAATACGATTACGTCTCCCAGGGCATGCACTCTTCCTATCCGGAACGTGACATTCGCCATCGTCCTTGCTCTAATCCTTCCCTTGTGTACGGAAATATGATGGTCTCTTTCGGGGACCGGGATCAGATCTTTCTTCCTCCCCGCCCGTTCAACTCATCGAAGTGACACAGCCAACACTGTCGCTCCTTAATCGAGGACGGCGTTATATGGCGTCCCCCAATCCTCTACATCGCATTCTGCGGATTTCCATGGGATGGGCGTGATGCGTAGGAAATTATCGTTTTTCTGAATTACCCCAATGCTTGCGGGTTTCGAGGTGTTTCCTTTGTCAAACTCCCGTTTTTTTGTCGGGAGCTTTTCCTTTGATGTCCGCAAGCTTTGCGAGGGTGGAGCGCCTTCTATTCGCTTTATATTGTTGTAACATACGGTCATTGACCTGTTCTGAGCTGGACAGGAGGTGTCCGACCGGTAAGGGAATACGGCTAGGTTACCTGATCGGACGTCCGGGACCCCCCTGACCGTCCGGGGTTGTCCGCTCGGACAACCGCCCGCACATCCTCCCTTGGCAGACCGTCCGAGCCCGAACGGCAAAAAAAAAAAAAAAAAAAAAAAAAAAAGTCCTCAAAAACATCTGGAAAAAAACTATGTTATGCAGAAACATAAACTGAACAACTTTTGCCTTGGGATGATATCGAAATTCGTTGTCAATTTTAAAATAAAAAATTAAATTAAAGGCACCCCCATTTTTTTTATATTTTTTTCGTGCATTTAATTGCTAAGAATGGAGTTGTCCGGGCCCGGACGTCCGGGACCCCCCTGACTGTCCGGTCAGGACGTCCTGCCATCGGACAACTGGTAACATAGGAATACGGTGATCCAGGGCTCTAACTATGTCGAGCACATCAATCTCCCCAGCGACAAATGCCTACCCTCCCAACTCCATTTCACGGGGCGAAGGTCTCCATTTCGAGACTTGCTGCTCGTCAGCGACCGGTTCAACTGCTCCTATCATTCCCAACCCCGGGTATCCCAGCGTGAGGTATTGGTCGAGGGGGAGAGTTCCGCCGCCTCGTCCATGACCATAGTGTCGCCCGTCGTCCCGTGCGTATCTTCCAACATCATCCCGACTTGTTCGGGTCCATTTACTATGGGTGCAGCTGTCGTGGGGGTGACTCCTATCTAAACCTGAGGGGGTCGGTTAGGGCATTCCCACGCTATATGTCCTAGTTGCAGACACGTGTAACACCTGTCGGTTCTCGCGGCGGCTGCTACGGTGGGTCTTCTGTCTGCTTGCACCGGCTGACTCGCTACGGGAAACGCATGGGTTCTGACAACAAAAGGGGCGCATCGATCGCATCACCATTTTCATCTGCGCGTTGTATTATCGTTGTTCTTTCTTACTCTCCTGTATTAAACTCACCAAAGTTCGTGTAAGTTTAAGTATTGCGTCGGGTTCATCTGCCTTCTTTGCTACGGTGGCGGGGATCACAGGGGGAGCAGGAGGCAAGAGAACAGCGCTAGAACTGGGAGCAATCCTCTTGACTGCCACCTGTTCTAAGTAGGTGACGAGTCCCGAGACAAAACCCATATTCTCGAACTTATCCTGAAGCGCCGCTAACTCGGCTAAAGCCCAAGCTAGTTACATGGAGTCACCTTCCTGGACGTGATCTTCCCCTTACAGGAAACTAGCGGCAAATTTCCTTTCCATTTGTTCAGCCACGTTCATGATCTGTTGCATCATGTGGGTGATGGGAGAAAACTATTTTCTCAGCTTGGCTCTCATCACCTGACTCTCGAGGCCGTCAATGAATAAATCCCATTGCACCATTTCGTCCCGCTCCAATTTAACAAATAACCGAAAAAATCTGCCACAATATTCGACGATCGATTCGAGGGGCTTTTGTAATCGATCCTTAATCATGAATAGCGCTTGCTCTGGATATACATAGTCAAACCGATGGAAAAAATCCTTCTCGAAAGTTAGAAGATCCACCCAATAGTAGGTACTAAACCAGTGATGTGCATCTCCTCCCAAGCGAGCCGGAATATTGATCCAGGCCTCATGATCATCGTACTGTTATGCCCGGGGGGTGGCTAACCACGCTCCTGCCCGGTGATGCGCTGGGTCAAACAGATACAGATTGGGGG